AAACCCATTTAGTTGCCTCTCTGACATGGTATAAATAGCCTAAAGAGCAACAGGGGGATTCGCCCTCTATTATAAGAGTCTAAATATCAGCAGCTATTAGCCTGCCTGTCTCCCTGCGGCTTCTCAAATCATCCAGAACCGGATTACTCAGCTGCCAGTCGTCCTCAGGCTCCAACACTCAGGGTTTATATGCAACATGAAAATACTGTTTACATATTCTGCTAAAAAAAAAGATGAAAAAAAAGGACTTTATAATAATTCACCTTGAACGGAGGATGCAGTGTACTACAGGTCGGACTGATGGTAACGAAATCCACCCACCAGCACTAAAGCACGCTTAATTAACACATCGTGTCTCATTTGTGTAACCTGTGCAAACACCCTGCAAATCGTGTACTGCAATATTTTTATGCTCAAACGAGACATCTCCTGTAATCATCAGCGGTTGCTTGGAAACAGGAAGCAGCGTTGTGGTTTGGAAGCGCAGGAATGACCCGTGGAGAGGCCTGACCTCCGTCCTGACCTCCAGCTATGTGCCAGGCCTTCCCCTTGATGTCAGAATTAAACTCACCAAATGTCGCAGTAATTACGCTCAGCTGTGCACACACTTAATGTCTCTCCGGTTATTATGCTCTTCTCGACATGAATGAGGTGATTTAATAAGCTCTCGAGCTTCGAAGTACAACCAGCAAATGCAGGCAACTTTAACTTTCTTCATCTCTGACTATGTAAATGTAGTAATAGTTTTTCTCCAATAGAAGACACAATGAATCAATGCCTGACATGAAAACTGAATTTAGTAGACCCGGTCAGAAACTACTGTGCTCTTTAGTCTTCAAGACATTAACTGCAGAGATTTTTGCAGCTTGTTAAAAACTCAGCAGTCAGAGATCAGAACCCAGAGAAGTGGTGATTGGATCAATGCTGGGAGGATAAAAGGTTTTCTTAATAAAAATGTTTACATTTTATGCAGAAAATATGATTTCTTATTTTGTTGACTGCATTTATGTGGTTGAATCCCTATACAGCAAAACCTTTATTAATGTCTTTTTAAAAAGAATAACCTTTGAATCGTTTGAAAAACCCACTTTCTCTTGGTATAATCTTTATGTGAGTTTCTGCAGAGGAATGGCAGATTTTTTTCTGCTCCATGTATGATCTCAATATCCAGAAATTAGGTACATGGGGGGAAATAAAGCGCTTCAGGATGTCAAATCTGCAGCTCAGTAGAGAGATCAGCATGCAGGAACTCTGTGTTTTACCTCTATTGATATTGACTCACTTTTCCGCCTAATTATTTAGGCCTCCACAGTGTTAGGATTTTGGCTTCAGCTTTCTTTCAACAATTGAATGCTTTGTTCAGTCGAGTAGCGTGAAACAATCCCAAACGTAAATAATCAATGTCAGCAAATTTGTAGAGAGAATGATGTAAATCATTTTCACAGTCCAGGATTATGATCAATGGCCTCACTAAAGACTGATTTATACTCAGAAACCAGGTCTCCCTTCTGCAGACACTCAGGTGCACCTCTTCAAAATTGTAGGTAACCGCAGACAGGAGGCCTCTGATTGGTCAAATCTACGCTCTACTCTATGCGTATTTCCTGTTTGCTACCTTACCAGCTTGTTTTGTTTGTATGGCCGCCATTGTGGAAAATGACTTGAGAAGAATGAGGTGTGCGAGAACGCTGGGACCCTTTTTCCACCTGGATCCCCGCTCTTTTTCACCCTCATGTCCCTCCGTTATCTCACAAACTTGACCCTTGCATTTTTTCCCTTCCTTACCACCTATCTAGACCCACAGCTACTTCGTGATTATCCTTCATGCATTGTGGCGTGTAATAACATTCGCTTCAAAATTTGGCATAAATTAAAAAATCTGCCTCATACCTGCGACAAGCTCACTGCGACACACTGCTGAGGGACTATAACCAGCCCTTAAGGCAGCATGAAGAGACCCAAATCTGTTTATTTGCCCTTTTTTGACCCATACCTTATCTTTTCATGACAGTCTAAACAACACAGATCAGATTTTTCAAAATGTGGACCTCAGTCCAATTAACAACCTATTAAATGTTGGTGATGATCCGGATCACCATCTGTGAATTCCAGGAAGATTCTGTGAATACAGATATTTACTTGAGGTGGAAGTCACGATATGTCAGGAGAAAGGAGAAGTGCTCTCTGAGTGCTTTTCTAGTTTTAAATGGCCATTCATCCCACCTGGACGTCACAAAGGTCACACTTCTGCGTCCTGCTAAGCGGAAGACAGAAGAGCATCAACAACCATGGCGGACGGTGATGTGGACAGCAGTCTTTTTTTTTTATCTTCTTGAAAAGATTTTTTTTTTTATCTAAAAGCTCTGGTTGAAAAAGTGATGAAACATCCCAAGATGGGCTCCAGCGCTACCATCCATGTTTACTTCCATAAACACAGAGCATGCTCGCTAGTGTACCGTCATTGCATCCTATGCTGCACATGCAGGATACTAAAGTGTATATTGTATGAATGCAGGTCACACAGCAGATTACATACAGGGTGCACATGTTTGGAGAAAGAGAGATAAGAAATAAACCAAGCTACAGTGTTGCTTCTATGACAGCTGCCATGTTAGTAGTTTGACAGTGAAATGGTGGTGAACAATTGCAATTAAAATGTTATTATTTCTTCCAGATGTAACACTGTTTATTCTATTCTATTTGTTGTTTTATTTTTTATTTTTCAGTTTAAGTTTAAAAAACAACTTGAAAAACGCAGGCTGTAATTATTATTTTTAAATATATTTCAATAAAGAAATAAAGATAGCTTTGATTTAACCAAAGTGGATCATTTTGTTGCGAAAATGACAAGAATGATGCAGTAAAGTTTTTTTTTCTTTCACACCTCAGACAGATTTAGGTCTAAAGTCATTTTTTGTTGGAAGTCCTGAGTCTGCAGATGAGGGTGATGGAAAGGAGGCTTTCCGGCTTTCCAAACTTGAAGACTTGGAGCTGCCATTAAGAAGAAATCATCAGAACCTCAGTAGAAACATGAAAAAAAAGCTGGTGTGTTTTCACAAAGGTTAGAAAGCTGAGAATTCTATTTTTTTTTTAAGGCTTAACTGTGTCCACTTCCTTCTATCTTGATGTTTGAGTTTGAGCCACTTAAAGACTTTGAATTAAAAGGGAATTTAAACTCTAAAAGACAAGAGGGGAGTTATCAATACCAAATTTCTGAGAAGCTGAGATTTTTTTTTTTTTTTCTGGAATAATCTTCCAGATATCTAATTCTACTGATTGACTTTTAATATTCAGAGTTCAGTAGAACCTAAATTAAATAAGAAAACATTGTTAAACAACATGACAAACCTTCTATCTATACCCCACTGTACCCTTGTCAGGTCTGGAGCATGGTTGCGGTCCAGAGGTTAATGGAAGAGAGGAGGGTTAAGCTCAGAACTGATCACCAGACCACCACAGGTAATACAGCTAGGAATGCTCACAGACACGCCAAGGAAGTTAAAGCGCCAAGCTAACGGTCAGGGTTTGGATGCCAGAAGCTGGAACTACAGAAACCAACTCATGCAGCTTGACCCTCTTTCTGCCAAAGCGCTTACAGCTGCACCATCCTGCAGCCCATAATAAATCCTTTTACAGCAAAATTCCACCTCACTGGTTATAAAGGCAACCAAATGCAAAGTCTTTTATAATAAATATGATGAAATATAATTACGACTGTAAATCCTTAAGTACTCAGTTCACCCACTGGTCAGAAATACCAGATTTAAAACATTTGAAATGTATTTCTAATTACATAAGATATGGAAAATAAATCTTTTCATTCTCACCTTTGTAATCTTAAAGACAAAAAGTCAAATTGTAAGCTGAGCTTTAATGGTTTGATGGGGAATTTCTAGATTTTATTTCTCCCTGAATTAAATGTATTGAAAAAAACACGGTGAAACGAAACGAAAAAACGTTGATTGTCACTAAAACCAATTCAATATTTATAATCTTTGTATATATTTTCAGATACATGCTTCTTTATTTCATAAAGCTGCATAAATATGAAGCGCACTCAACTTTAACATTCTGACATCAACTAACTCAAACATTTCATGCACTACTTTGTGTGTTGGAGAGCAACCCAAACACTTCCTCTGGAGTGGAACCATTTCCTGCAGGATGTTCAGGTTTCTGGCCTGGCCTGTGTCCCTTCTGTGTGCAGTTCATGCGACACGTCCAGTTTACATGTTCGCACCTCCAACACAACATCCTGTCTGAATGAATCTCATCTTCCTCCTCTCAGTCGACATCCTTTTTTCCTCTCTGTCTCATCTTTCTCCTTCTTTCACGTCATTATTCATTTCATCATCTTTCCCTCATTTATATCCTTACAAGTCTGCTTGCAATCATGGAATTTCCTCCGAATTTGTTCCTCATTAAGTGTTCCAATGACAGAAGGTTTTTCCTTTTTTTTTTTTTTTTAAGCCACAGTCACATGGAGCAAACACCTACGTCACTGTTCCTGTGTTGCCTCTTAGGGTTTATGGTAAAACATTTAAGAGGGCTCCTAAAAGCTCCTCGTAAAACTGTGAGAATATAATCCTCAAATTAAAAGCTGTTCATCTCAACAGGGATGCTTAAAACCTACTAAACCGTATGAGACAAGGGCTAGAAATCCAGTTTTCTTTATATTTTTTGCTTCTTGTTTTTGTCTGTTGGTAAATTCAAAAGCCTCCTTCAATAATAAAAGTACATTAAGCTTGTTTTTAAGTGCAAAATTATATAATTTCACTGTATTCTGCAAATTATTGTGCAGAATCCAATAGAAACGGGATTCTGCAGACTTTATCATAATAATCAGAACTTTATCTCTTCTTCTGTTATTTGGTTTAACAAAATGTATGAAACACATTTATTTGATCCATTATAATGAAGAAAAAGGCATAAGTATCAGACGTCCCCTTAAAAAAATCTTCCCCTGTTGCCACAAACACAGACAAACAGAACAGACGGACCTGTTTGACGCGGTCCGGGTTGACGGTGGTCTGAGGCTGCAGGATGCTGACTGGTTCTGTCTTCTGGGTGCTCTGAGGCATCTCCCTCACCTTCTCAGCGATAAAGTCATGCACACCGTTCAGGGCCTCCACCGTCCCCTGAATCAGACACACCCGCTCTGTCGTGCCTGAAAACACATAGATACACACAGGCGGGTCAGGAAAGGTCCACAAAGAAAGGTTAAGGCAACAAGCAAGAATAAAACATATTTCATGAGGCACTTGTCTCCTTCTTCACAACTATAAACAGAAAAACGTACAACTATAATCCAATAATGTTGAACTTTTACTATGTTACAGCTAATATAGATCTGTACTGATTTGTAGTTCTTCTAATCCACCTAATCTGTAGATTAGAGGGAGTCTAAAGAGATTCTAATAATTTTTCTCCAACTTTGATCAATCTTTGCCTTGTGCTTTCATCACAGAAATGATCTTAAATGAAAGGTTTTCCCAAGTTAAGCTATCAAAGGACAAATTGATTTTATATCAGCTAGCTGCAGCTGTGGAGGAAGCTTTAAATGGATGTTTAAATAAACCAATACATGTTTTGATTACGTAAAGATGGCTGCAAGCAAAAGGAATGTAAGACAAAGCAGAACCTCTCAGTCCAGCTCAACAGAAAGTCAGTGTCTCACACTTTCATCATTTATTGTCTCTGGTTTATTTCTGGTTTATTATTTCTCATTTCATTCTCTCCATCTCCCTTTCATCCCATGTATTTTGTTTGCTCTCCATCCCTTTTCCCTTGATTGGAGTATTTAGGAGGTTCTGGTTTTATCACCATCCAGCAGTGAGTCGGTCCGGGCTCCACTTCCCTTCCCTTTTCTATCCTCTCCTTGGCCGCCTTAGTGTGGCTCAGCCCTCTGCGGCTCCTTCCGGAGCAGAATTGAAACGCCTCTGTTTGCTCAATTTATTATCGTAAGAGGTAACTGATGCAGATGAAGAGAGAACACGAAGTAGATGATGAAGTTCAGGACAGAAGGAGTCTGTGACAGTAGAGACTAAAATAAAGCAGCATGTTTGTCATTTGCAGATTGCAGATGAATCTGTCTATGAACCCAGTTTGCATCAAACTGCCATTGCTGTAAATTGCTGTTTCTACAGGCTGATGACAGCAGAGACAGACATGATCTGTTGACAGCGGCTGAATGCCTCATTTGGTCGAGAGAGTCTGATGACAAGATTAAAAATCCAATTAAATATAGAAGTTAACAGTTAAGCCATTTGTTGCTCTACGCTTTTTTCTCTATTCTATCCATTTTTTTTTTTGCAATCACCCTCCCTTGACCACTGAGCTGTCTGTGTGTGTGTTGACTCTGAGGAAACTGGGCCTCGCCTCTCCCTGACAGCTGGTGCCCTCTGGGTAATCTGCAGTCGTCCAATCAGAGGCGAGGATTAACAGGCCATTGTCTTGGCATGAGAAAGTGAGTGTGCGTTTGTTTCGTGTGTTGCCGTGTGAACGTACGTGTGTGTAATAGTGGTAGGAAAGGCCAGTCTGTCACCGAGGATTGCATTGGGGCTGCTGTACAGCTGTGCTTTGGCAGCAAAGACCAGCTTCACCCCATCGCTAGATATTAACCCAACGCTCCAAGAGCTTCCATATGATACACAACACACCATAATTGCTAATGTGTTATACATGAATGCAGAAGTGATTTAAACCCCTGCTCCTAACAATGCTTCATTAAAGCCTTCACCATCACATAACTAAAGTAAAACTTTATTTAATTACGTTGTCTTGCCTTTTGTTAAAGTCTCAAATAAACACACTTCAGAGCAAGTTTACTTCAGTCAGTTTGGACTGTTTGACTGCTAAAGAACAGAATGTTCTGGTCCAGATTCGGGGCTTTTTGTCTATTTTTTTAATAAGGTAATATGTTGCAACATGTCTGTAAGGCTTTACTGCTGCTAGTGAGGTAGTTTAACCATTTTATTCAAATGTCTAGAGCAAAAGAATATTGAAAACTACCTCAAACCCCACTGCTCACTCCTTTTTATATCACACCTGCAAAATAAAACAGCAGAAATGATTTACTGGCTTCTGGTTTCCACTTGCAGTCTGTGGACCTCATCTGGTCAGGCCTTTAAAAACTTTCTGAAAGCTCTAAAAAAAACTTTGAACCTCCTTATCTTCAGTTTCTCTGATTTATTGCTACAAATTTTTGTTTTATTTCACATTAGTTTTAGTTTGCTCTTTTTAATCTGAGCTAAAAGTTGTATAAAGAGGTTACAATTGTGTGTTCTTCACAATGTAAACTGGTTCCTATCTAGCAGTGGACTGAAACAAACCTAATTGATGTGATTGGAATGTTTCTGCCAGCTTTTTAAATTAAATTAAATTCGACATAAAACCGAAATATCCTGATTTCATGCATGGCTGTGCTGCAATTTCAAATCTCTAATGAAATCAAAAGTGAAGTCATTTCAATAAGCTTTAATAAACATTGGGATGATTGTCTCAGTAGAACCCTTTCCTGAAATATGCCCCCACACACAAACTCACCGTGGTAGACGTATAAATGCCAAAGCAGCGCCAACGCAGCAGAATTTATACATCCCTTAGTGATTTAAAGTCAGCTCAGTTGGCATTCTGTTCCGTGAGTACGTAAGTGTGAGTCTGCAAGTGCATTTTAACATTTACTCTTCAAAAAAAAGAAAAAAAAAGAAAATCAAGTTTGGACATTTTTGTGAGTCAGGAACTTTTTTTCAGTTTCAGAGGAAATGTCTTTGATTTGACGGATTACTGCATTTTTGAAACACATTCTCTGCAATCAAAACTTAAAGCAGGTTTAACAGGGAAAAATGCACTTTTAATTGGGGTTTTCATAAGTAATGCTTTCAGTGGAGCTGATCCAGAGCTGAATGTATGAAGGGTTTATTATTATATGGAGCCTAGGCGGAAGTTCAACTGAATAAACTGATTACTCGCCTTCATCCACCTACGACACAGCTAATCAGCTTTGAACCCCACCTCCACGAAAGCCAATCAGCATCCAAAGTTCATCTTAAAAGGCCTTCGATCTGCAACTCGTCTGCTATCTAGTGCGCAGGCGGCAGATGCGATGTGTGACTTTATTCAGATGACCCCGTTTCAACCCACCTCCAGCCTCTCCTCCACCATCATAACTAAAACTTCATCAGAGTGTCATTCCTCCAGGACTCTTAATGCGTTCCGCATCTCATCTCTACCGGTCAGGCAGAAGAAAACCATGATGAGCCTGGTTCTGCCAGAGGTTTGTTCCCAACAGGGAGTTTTTCCTCTCCACTGTCGCTTCATGCTTGCTCATCATGGACAGGTTCTCTCAACCTGTGTTATCCAACTGGACTTCCATCTTCCAGGTCCCTGTGTGAAGCTCTAGTATCAGCTCCTGCAATTCACCGGATCTCCCCATAAAGCTCAGCAGACCGTCTTGCTAACCAGCAGTCTACAGACTGTCAGCTTCATCTATCTTAACTCCACCACCAGTTTCAGGCCTGGGGGGGTGGGGAGCCCTATTCTTTACTCCTATTCATGCATATCAATCAAAATTAAGGGCTATGTTTCCCATCGAGGGAAACATAGCCCTTGAGCACCAAAGTAAGTAATTGTATCAATACATTTCTTCTAATTGTCTTTTCTCTCAGTGTTTGTTTTTCAGATTGAACAACAGTAATCCAGTCCAGTTAAAAGTTCTGAAAAAAAAAAAGACTGCAGAGACTGAAAGGTACAAGTCACAGATGTTAAAAGTATACAGAATCTAACTGAGCTCCGAAGTTTAGGTCAGGAGGAAACGTTTCAGAGATGAAACACCTGCAGCAGCAGCTCAGCAAAGGAATGCTGACACTAAATAATGATTCTCTGCTTAACTCACAAGTTCAAACTGGACTCAAGTCGGTTTATAAATGATCTGTTAGGGGTATATCTTTACACACACACACATTGTTCAGTTGCTGCAGTCCTCTGAAGATGACATGCATTGAAGGCAAAGAGCCTTGGCCAGACATGAACTCTGTTTCCACAGTGACAAAGTGACCCGGCACCTTTTCGTTCAACACCAGAACACTCATTGTCGTCGTGAGCCAGGTTGCAGACCATGGCGCTTGTTTTTATTAAGGTCTAACTAACATGACTCACTCCTTCCTCCCCTGCACTCCTCCTCCTCCTCCTCTCCCTGATGATCAGAGAGGCAGTGGTAACAGACATTAAGCACAGAGAGCTGTTTCTCTGATTTGTGACTCACAGCAACATATGAAGGATTGGTACGCCGTAGATTGTTAGGACTTCAAGATGAGCTCGACAGGAACATCCCTCTGTGGTTAAACGCGAACAGAGCAGAGCACGTGTTGGAGACATAAAGTTTACTTTTTTGGAGGAAGCATCAAAACAAATAAGGAATCATTGTGGAATTAAAAAAAAAAGGGTTTTAATGACCAAAGTTAGAGAATTTAGTTTTTTTTTCGGTGCAGTTTGCAGAAAAGCACAGTGTAAGCCAAGGATCTGGTTCTTATTCAAATGAGCGGGTTATCCTTCAAAACCTCATAATTCTACACAGGACAACCCAAAGGCAAGACTAGTCCTTTAGAGCCAGATATTTGGCTTGAACTGCTACCTCAAAGCAAGAAGGTTCTTGGCCTGAATCTCTCTATGGGAAGCTCTCTGAGTTGAATGCTTTCCACACTCTGTGGCTCCTCCCAGGGTTCGAACACATCTAGCTGAATTGTAAATAGGCACAATGGTCTCCAATGTCTCATCAGAACGGGTTTGATAAAACGTAACTGTGGGAATTTTTCTACATTTCCTGAAAAAATTTCACTTTTCATTTGAAATGCTCCCAGCTTTACACTTAATAAATGTTAAGAAGTCAAGAAACAAAAATGTGAGATTCACTGATTTTTCATTCTGAATCCTGAGATAAGAATCCATGCAAACATATTTGATTTTACCAAATACTACATTTCTATAGTTGGCCAATTTTCCTAGCTTAACACAGGGTGTGTATGAACCTTCCTGCTCCATTGTGTGTCCTCTTTGATTTCTTTATGAGGTCTAACAATGGTGTAGCTACAGTGGCTCATAAAGATCACTCCCTGTCTCACTGCCTGTTAATTGCATTAGTCAACCCACAATTAACAGTCATGATTCATA